TAGTGTCATACCAAAAACAAGTTTAGTTAAAAAGCAGAAGCATAAAACCAGGAATTCACAGGTTTTTCTCTGCAGGGGCGACTTCTAGGAACAGCTGCAGGAACACTGTCAACTTGGTCAACAGGCCTGGCCAGAGCTTGTAATGGATAAAGGGAATGTAGATTATGACTCCACTGAAGATAAATAAAGTCACATAGAGGTACTCAATCTGAGGATTGTCTATGATGGGTGCCAGGACAAGGAATACTGCTGCAATGAGGACCAGGATGGGGATTATAATGGGAACCTGTAGGCAGAGGAAAAGAGGAGCATGACAACAAGCTGTGGTTCTCATGCAGTGTTAGGAAATGTGAAAAATGCACATGACACATACGCTGTATGGCCTTGGGAGCTGTGGCTTCCTGATCTTGAGGTAGAGGAGTCCAGACAGGGTGATGGCATAAAAAAACCAGGCAGTGAAACTGACAACAGCGATAAAGATAAATATCAGACAAGCAAAAACATGGTGTATGTTTTTAAAATAAAGAAATAATACAGATCCTGCCTTCACCTGAAGAAGTTGACAATACTCTGGAAGTCTCCAGGAATTAACACCACCAGAGAGACAGCCGTGGTGAAGATCAGTGCTGGAGATGGAGTCAGCCTGTGGATGTGAGCCATGGCCAGGATATCTGGCTACAGAACAAACAGAAGTCTGGGTTCGACTCGGTGACAACAATCTTATACCGACCTATCACATATTTTTTATAAGATAATGACATTCTCACCATGTGTCCTTCTCTGGCAGCAACAAAACACACACGGCCACCGCTGAAAAATGTCCCGTTGAGTGAACCAAAAGCCGATAATGCTGCAGCAACAGACATGATCCATCCCCAGCCTCCTAAGACCTTATTCCTATAGAAAAAGATCACTAACAAGCTGCAGCAGCATCCATTCCAACTGTTAAAAGCCACATGCTACAAAGTAAAAAGCACATAATGGGACTTGGGGGCAGTTTTCAGATTTTCTTTAACATTTTAAAGGTTATTAGTGTTTTTTTAAACAGAGTTTGTAACTATCAGATTAAAGACCTATTGATAATGACATACTGTATATCAACAACTGAAACAACAGGTCAACCATCAGTTCTGACTCATTTACTTCAATCAGTGACATCAACATCAGGTCTTGCCTTACCCCCAGGTTACTGCTACTGCACTGGATGACATGAGCTCTTTAGGCGTCATTACTGTCAGGTAGCTCACATTCACCAGCAGATATAAGCCAGTCACCAGGGAAATGGCGATCACTATTGCTCGTGGAAGATTGACCTGAAAGGCAAAAAAGAACTGCAACCTTAATCCTCGACTACAAATCACAAATGTTTCGGTCCTTGTTTCAATCACTTCATGCATTTAGCTCACTGTGATTAAAAACCTGTGAACAGTTTTAATGTGACTTTGCAACTGCTGCTCGTTGTTATATTTTTATCTTTTACACTGGTCAGACTATAGAAAGAACAAGCCTCCACCAAGGCAGCCCATAATCAAACCAAAAATATTCCCATGATAGTTTGACCCTAATATGATTCCTTGACCATGGTAACCTACCCATAGCATTGGATTCACATTGATATCATTGTAGGTTTGAAAGTTACTCAAGTACAATGGCAGTTTTCTTCATGTTTTAACTCAGTTATTGTTGAAGTTATGTCAAATTTGTTGACACTGAGTCAGCAGCATTTCACATAGAATTTAATCTTTGTTGCAGGTCTGTAGTCTTATTTGTTGTCTCAAAGTAGTCAATTTTTTGTAATCAATATAAATATGAACATTCTACAGCATCAAATCTGGAGTATTACTTGGCTCCAGATTATACTTATATTATATTATAATATAATGGACTGATAATGGAGTCAGAACCAAAAACACTGAAACTGGCCCTAGCTCATCTTTGAATGTGGTATTCACTTAGGACTTTATAAGTGTTGGTTAGAATGCTCAGCTTGGGGTGTCAGTCAATCAAAAATGATTTGTTCTTTACTGCCTTTTATTTAATCAAAACCAGTGCACAGTATAGTAAACATAGGCTTTCATGTGGAGTTCAAGATCTTGTGTGGTCTCTAAATAACTGCAGCCCACTTCTCTACTAGCTGTGGAGGATGGCTGCTCAAGTTAAAAGGTGCTAAGGCATACTGTGCAATGTTAAACGACACTGCAGCAATGCCGGATGACTTCACAACCAAGATAAAAGTGACTGCTGCAAAGAAAACATGATATGTACCATATATTTTTAGTATGTAGTTAAAATCCCCAACAGATTCAGAAATGACTTGCCCAAGACCAGCACAAGACAATGCTGCAAACATACAGTAGCTACAGCTCTAAAGAGAGCCCAGATTACAACACTTGCTCCAGGGCTTCCAGCGTGGACCAGTGCAAACTGTGGGGATCAATATACCAGCTTTGATCATGGTCCCTGAAACTAATGCTACACCTCTGATTAACTCAGTTTTCTACTTCATTTTCTTCACTATCGCTGGGAGCAGACACCTACATATTGACCACACATCTTGGGACTGTAAGCTATGAATACCAGAAATAAAAGATTCAACAGAAATGGCCAAGAGGCAATAAAAACTGTTCATGGCAGGTTTACCTGGAATTACAACTGCACTTGTAAATGTATGTACACCCAGCTGTTGATTGTAAGCATGCTCTTATTATGAAATCACTAATGTGGACATGACCTTTGCTGAATAGAACGGCAGTGGCAGCTCTACTCTTTTATTCTAACATTACTCTCAGCACTTCCACTCACTGTGTAATTTAGTGTGAATACCTTTTTATTTGTGACTTACATGAGTAAACAGGCTGATATAAGATACATTATAAAGCTGCACATTGGAGGAGACTGGGTGTTCCTGGACAATGTGAGTTCCCTGATTTGTTGAATAACTGACTGACTGACCGGCTACAGCGAATGACAAAAAAAAAACAAAAAAAAAAACATGCAGGTATAGGCTCCTAAATTAATATCTTCGGTCTTAGTAGACTGCATAAGTAAAAATGTCCTCATTTTAATATTGGGTAAAAACATAATCAGAATTTCATAGTTCATTTAAAAAATAGAAAATTCTTACTTCAGGATGTTTCACCTCTTCAGTTAAGTAATTTAGAGTGTTCCAACCATCATAAGACCACAACGATTGATAGAAAGCAATTCCAATGGAGTTGACACCAACATTTGTCCCCTCAAAGGAGTTGTCAAAGTTCTGAGTGTTGCCCTGGAAAAGCATCACAATGCCTCCCAGTGTGATCATTGCCAGTGCCAGCACTTTGACTACTGTGGAAACCACCTGGATGGCTGTGGCCAAGCGGATACTCAGACAGTTAACTACAGCCAGCACCATGATCCCTGCTGCAGCCACACATTTCACCACCAGTTGTGGAGGGGTGCAGCCACCATAAAAAGGGGCCACAACATATTCAGCAAAGCTTAGTGCAATTCCTGTGGCAGAGGCAGGCCTCATGACAATAATAAAGCTGAAGAGAAACAAGAAGGCCACCACTTTCCCTGCTGTCTTTAGAATGTAGATATAATCTCCTCCAGACTCTGGGATGAGTGTACCAAGTTCAGCATAGCAGAGTCCCCCTAGCATGGCTATCACCCCACCACAAGCCCATATAATTAGACTAGCCCCCGGGCTTCCAATAGTGGACAGTAGATACTGGGGTGATATGAAGATCCCAGATCCTATCATGGATCCAGCAATGAATGACACAGCTCCTATTATCCCAACTTCTCTCTTCAGAGTGAGTCTCTGTCTGTCACCCTCCATTGTTTGATTGCTGCTGTTTTGTCAAAGACATCCACAGTGGACACTGGGCAGGCACTGAACTGGCTGCAGAGCAATTTCAAACAGTTAATTATTGTTAAAGTCATGTCCACAATAAGTTTCTGTTTGACTTCGACTTTGCTCATTACGACCAGCTGCATTCTTTTAATAGATAATCACTTTTACAACAAAGATCATCTGATATTCACCAGTTTGTACTCACATCAGGGGTCCGTGCAAATGAGTCGAATTAGTCTGACTGCAAATAAATGCAAAAAACTAAAATGCTGCTGCTTGGTCTTATTACAGAGTTCTTGCCTGGTTTGAGGTTAGTGCTTGAGCTGGTAGATGTTTATGGTATGTTTACTGACTGACTGAGATTGTCCTGTGGACCTTGTCCATTAGGCTGATAATGTCACAGTCCTCCACAGCCTGCTGATATTTATTGTTGTGATATCAACAACTTAACTCACGCAATCAGATGACACATCTGATGATGTTTTTAATTAACTGAAAGACTGGCACAATGCCTCTGTCACTTTTGAAGTAACCTTATTCATAAAAATTTGTGGCAGCTTGTGTGAAAAGTGCTATCCAAACTGTGTCAACTGGCCTTCCACAGTGCCATCCCACTGCTATCCCATTGTTGTGATATCAACAACTTAACTGTCACTTCTGAAATAGCCTTATTCCAATGTGCACTGGAGATCATGGCCTGATGAAGTCAGGAGAACCTGCAAAAATAAAGAGTTTCAATCCTGAGATCACCACATGGGTGATGCCTCTTGGCTGTGCCAAGTGATTCTGTCTATGTAAAAAACAAACTGAACCAGGGAATGTGCTTGAGTGCTGCAGATAAAACAGAAAACGGCTCTCTCTAGTTATACTGTATAAGGACCAGACAGCATGTAGCAAAGGCTGTACCTTGCTTTCCCACAGGTCCCTCAAAAGACAGACCACAGGACACAGTTGTAAGCAATCTCCAAAAATTTCAAGTGGCAGTTGACTAAACGGTGGAGTCAGTGAGGAGACTCTAAATGAGAACATTTTTTCCAATGGCCTCATCCTTTGTAGCAATGACAACCTACTTGTCCAGTTCAACCACACATTCTCTATAAATAGACAAAATGCTGTTTTGTGCCAAGTGCTTAAGACAAACAATCACAATATGTTCTTGTTTTTGATAGCTGATCCTTTGTGTAGACCTCTAACAACATGAACTACAATGTACGTACCACAGCTGACGCTGACTCATGCTTTTGGTTGTTGTGGGTTATTATTATTAACACATATACCCATTACCTTCATAGGCAACAACAACAACAATAACACAATGGTGTTATTTTAGTGGGCTACCTTAGTGGTTTATTTGATTACATTTCTGTGACCTTCAGGTGGGACATCAGCGTGCCAATATTTTAGTCTACATTGCCTGACAACAGGTGATTTTTCAGGTGTGGTGTGTAGCTAGGAAAGAAAGGAAGGTTCCCATTCTTTGCTCGTTGAGGTTTCATTGCCACCTTACATGACATATACTGTACAAAGGGATAGCAGCAATGAATAGAAAACATTAAACTTTACTTCAACTGAATCTATATTTTAGTGTGGGTCATTTTAGTGACATGGTTGGCAACAATAAAAAAATCTCTTTCTAAGACGCAGCCGCTGTTGTTAAACAACAAAAAAATGTATTACTTTATCTTAGGATAATGGTGGGGAGAACAACTAACGTTGGAGCATCAGGGACAGTGAGACCATGAACTGCTTACTGGTTTTAGTATCACTTTCCACTAAAACCACTTATCTCCTTTTACTTACCTCTGGATGTTTCAACTCTTCAGTTACATAATTGAGATTGTTCCAGCCATCATAGGCCCACAGTCCCTGGTAGAAAGCAATACCAATTGGATTGATGTCTACATTTGTGTTCTCAAAAGAGTCTTCAAAGTTTTCAGTGTGCCCTCTGCTAAGCATCAGCACACCGCCTATTATAATGACTGCCAGGGCCAGAACTTTGACCATCATAAAAAACACTTGGACTGACACTGAAAACCGAACATTTAGGCAGTTCACAGTGGCTAGCACTAGAATTGCAGCCGCAGCCACACACTTAACCAACAGTACCGGAGGAGGGCAGTCTGAGTACAAAGGGGCCACGACGTACTGGGCAAAACTCAGAGAGATGCCAGTAATACCAGCAGGTCTCACAAACAACACTGAGCTAAAGATTAACATGAAGGCGACGACTGGACCTGAAGTCCTGAGGATGTAGATGTACTCTCCCCCTGATTCTGTTATGACAGTGCCCAGCTCAGCGTAGCAGAAAGACACCAGTATCGCCAGTAATCCACAGCATGCCCATACCACCAAGCTGGCCCCAGGGCTGCCGATAGCATAAAGGACTGTCTGCGGGGACATGAAGATCCCAGATCCAATCATTGTCCCGCCAATGAGGGACACAGCTCCTAGCAGCCCTACTTCCCGCTTCAGTCTGAGATTCTGTGTCTCTTCATCCATAATCAGAACAGTGTCAGACCATCTGTTATCTGACACCTTTACCAATCCAGAAAGCCCTATTATATGACAAAGGTCATTCTTACAGAAACTCTGGGAGTTAATATTTATACTATGGCTCATATTACCGAATAGCGTAGTAGTCAAGACCAGCTAAACAAGACCAAGACTGGGATGTACTGAGACTGCGAAAAGACCAAGACTTAAGCGCTGGAGACCAAGTTAAGACCAAGAACAAGAACAAAGCAGTGCAGTTAAAATAAATTTGATATTTTGATAGAACTAGCTCTCCTATGTTTCAGAGAAACTAATGACAGTATATAGGAGTGACATTATAGAATACATTTCCCAATAACAATTCCTAAGACTTATTAAAAAGCTTAAGTGTACGCTGAGATCGGTCTTGGTCTCAAGAGGTCAAGACTGGTCTTGAGATCAAGACCGATCTTACATACTACAACACTACAGGGACCATCTAAAGTGCAACTCTGAAAGCCTGCTACAAAAATATTAAACTTCCTGGAAATATTAAATAACTCTCACATAGGCCGGCAGTCAAATTCAGACAGGCCATTAATTAAATTCAATTTTATTGGGGGGGGGGGCTTCCTCTTAAGTTAGCTTTCTGTTACTATATCTTAAGTCAACAGGTTGGTTTAAATCTGCCATGAAATACCCTCAAAACAATTATTTATCATCCAATTTGTTTCTTATCTCTTGGTTACCTTGTTAGGTTTCTTTCTCCATGACAAGATTGGTTTTAATACTTTTGGTGTGGCCTCCTTTCTTTTGACAGCATACCTCTCGTTTTCAATCAAAAAAAAAAAGGTAAAATGAACCTTGAGAATTATATCAGTAAATAAAAGGTTGTTATGCTACCTGACTATTACTGAGGGGTATTAGAACACATCTCTTAAATAAATTAGTCTGTTAAAAGAGAGGTTGATCAGCTCTAATATGGACATGTTGATTAAGGGTAAAACATCTTTAGTTCTGGTTGGGGTGGGTTCTAAGAGACATGTTGATAATTCAGATGAAGCAATTGTTGAAGTCAGCTCAGAGAGATCCACAGTATGGGAGAGAAGCAGTCAAAATATAAATGATGTCTGACAGATTTTGCTAAAGCCATTTTACTTCATGTACTTGAGAGTTGTGGGAAGGATCAGATTCTATTTGTAAAGAAACTCATGAAGTCATTACTACTGATATCAAAGGGAATCTTAAGTTCAACAAAAAGCACTGTGGCTTTTTGGCAGTCTGGCTACAGTGCCTCCTGTTTATACTTAAACACTTAAGCTTTTTGCATAATTGTTGGGAATTTTTACTGGAAATAATATTAAATGTCACTATATAGTGTCACTGAAACACAGATAAACCAATACTATCAAAATCAGTTTAACTGCACTTGTGTGGTTTTGGTCTTGAATTGGCCTCAAGCCATTAAGCCTTGGTCTTGTCTCAATTGCGATACACTCCGGTCTTGGTCTTTAGCTGGTTTTGACTACACTATTACTGAATGTACTTTATTTATTGTAGCCTGTTTTGCATTGTACCTGATCTTTTTTTAAAGGGGATCAGTATATGTTGTGATTGTCCCATATCTGTTTTTTGGTTAGCTGTGCTCTGTACATTTCTATTAGGATGTTAGAGATGCAGAACACTTCAGTACACTGGACTCAGAAACCAGAGCGGCAAGACTGTCTCACTCTGATCCTCTGCTCTATCAACTGACATTGTTCTTCTAAGTTTGTGTTTCACATTCTTACACTTACACAACACTCACCTACTCACTGTGTTTTTTGCATTTCATTAAAATCTTTTGCAATAATTTAAGGCCTGGCTGTCACACTTTTTTGAGCCAGGCTGTGACAAAAAAAGATTGTATTATTTGTTTGACCGTTAGCGTTAAAAATACTACTTTAAATACGTCTGGCTTAATTTACTAAAATAGCAAATAAAACAAAAACACCTTTTATTCATTTGAAACAATTTTATAGTGTGTATGCCACAATATTAACAATCATACAAACTGATATGAACATTTTACTAATTCAGAACTGGTATTGCTATACACTTATAAAATAACACAGAGGGGGTGAAATCTTTTGCATTAAATAACAAAATAGTTAAACTGTATGAAGACTCTGGAAACACATGTCCAACCAGAGAGTGATGTTTTTACAGCTTCTCATCACTTTGTGGCTTTATGCTTCTGGATGACTTCCACCTACAACACATCAAACAAAGAGGATAAAGATGATTTTTCTTCCTGCATTGTTTTCTGCAAGTGGCATACTTTTCTGATGTCAAACAAGGACATCTCTATGTTACATGTCACATGGCAATCCACTATCACAGACCTACATTCAAGCAATCTAGAGTCATCCTGGTATATTAGCATACACTTATCAGGCATAACATTATGACCACCTGCCTAATACGGTTTACATAGGAGTCACTATGTCATGTCACTCTGCAGCTCACTGTGCATCTTCTGTGAATCTATTTGCTTCCACAGTTCTACTGTCAGGAAGAGCACGGATGTGTCTACAAATCGGTGAACAACTTGTGTAAGAGGAATTAAAACTGTGGTCGTGACGACACAGAGACTAGCCCTGGGAACATGGGATGTCACCTCGCTGGTGGGAAAGGAGCCCGAGCTTGTGCAGGAGGTTGAGAGGTACCTGCTAGAGATAGTCGGGCTCACCTCCATGCACAGCTTGGGCTCTGGAACCTTACTCCTCGAGAGAAGCTGGACTCTCCATTACTCTGGAGTTGCCCGCGGTGAGAGGCGGCGGGCTGGTGTGGGCTTGCTTATAGTCCCTGGGCTTAGCCGAAATGTTTTGGAGTGTACCCCGGTGAACGAGACGGTCGTTTTCCTGCGCCTTCGGTTCGGGGATAGGTCTCTCACTGCCATTTGTGCCTATGGGCTGAATGGCAGTGTAGAGTACCCGGCCTTCTTGGAGTCCCTGGGAAGGGTGCTGGAAAATGCCCCGACTGGGGACTCTATTATTCTACTGGGGGACTTCAACGCCCACGTGGGCAGCGACAATGACACCCGGAGGGGCATGATTGGGAGGAACGACCCCCCCGAACTGAACCCGAGTGGTGTTATTGGACTTCTGTGCTAGTCACAGTTTGTCCATAACAAACACCATGTTCAAGCATAAGGGTGTCCATCAGTGCACGTGGCACCAGGACACCCTAGGCCAGAGGTCAATTATCGACTTTGTGGTTGTTTCATCTGACCTCCGGCCGTATGTCTTGGACACTCGGGTGAAGAGAGGGGCGGACGTGTCAACTGATCACCACCTGGTGGTGAGCTGGATCAGATGGCGAGGGAGGAAGCTGGACAGGCTCGGCAGACTCAAACGTATTGTGAGGGCCTGTTAGGAATGTTTAGCAGAATCCCCTGTCAGAGAGATCTTCAACTCCCGCCTCCGGCAGAGCTTTGACCAGATCCTGAGGGAGGTTGGAGACATCGAGTCCGAGTGGACCATGTTCTCCGCCTCCATTGTCGATGCGGCCGTTCGGAGCTGTGGCCATAAGGTCTCCGGTGCCTGTCACCTGAGACAGCTGACGGGTACCGGCAGGCCAAGCGGGCTGCAGCCCAGGCGGTTGCGGAGGCAAAAACTCGGATTTGGGTAGAGTTCGGTAAGGCCATGGAGAAGGACTATCGGTCGGCCTTGAAGAGATTCTGGCAAACCGTCCGGCGCCTCAGGAGGGGGAAGCAGTGCCCTGCCAAAACTGTTTACAGTGGAGGTGGGCACCTGTTGACCTCAACTGGGGACATTGTCGGACGGTGGAAGGAATACTTCAAGGATCTCCTCAATGCCGGTGCCATGTCTTCCAATGAGGAAGCAGAGGCTGAGGGCTCGGAGGTGGACTCGTCCATCACCTAAGCTAAAGTCACCGAGGTAGTTAATAAGCTTTTCGGTGGCAAGGCACCGGGGGTGGATGAGATCCGCCCTGAGTACCTTAAGTCTCTGGATTTTTTGGGGCTGTCTTGGCTGACACGTCTCTGTAATGTTGCATGGTGGTTGGGGACAGTGCCTCTGGACTGGCAGACCGGGGTAGAGGTCCCTCTTTTCAAGAAGGGGGACTGAAGGGTATCAACAGCCTCACCTCTCTAGGTGTGATATCACCACTACAGCCCCTGACTCTTTCTCTTTATAGAGACCAATGTACAGTATTTCTCATTTGCAACCATTTTAACAAAGTCAAATAAATTGTAATCTTTTCAAAAGTACAAATGTAAGTTAAATGTTTACCATAATTTCTGGAATATAAGCCGCTCTCACTAAATGTAAGACAAAAAACATGGCAACAAAACATGTACATAGCCGCAGGTGTCCACGCTGTAACGAGATATTTCGACAGCCAGATCAATCGCCTGTAACTTGAAGTGGCATCATATGCATTTCGTCGTGTGTTGTCCATGATGAGGGTGTGTGCATGAATCGACAAAAGTAGCGGCTTATAGTCCTGAAAATACGGTAATCTACAATAGGTCAACCTCATCATCACTGAGCCGTGGGCATCCAGTCTCTTCTTTCAACCTGTCTCCAGTTCACAATTTGTCCTTCCTTACACATTGTTGGTAGGTACTAACCACTGCAGACCAAGAACACCTACCAAGACCTGCAGTGTGAGAGATGATCTGACCCAGTCATCTCACCATCACAGTTTGGCCCTTGTCAAAGTCACTCAGATCCTTAGACTTCCCCATTTTTCCGCTTCCAACACATCAACTTTAAGGACTGAATGTTCACTTGCTGCCTAATATACCCCACACACACTGACAGGTGCCACTGTAATAGATAGACAGTGTTATTCACTTCACCTGCCAGTGGTCAGAATGTTGTGCCTGACCGGTGTATGTCCTGATGTACAGCAGAAAACTACTATCCAGCCATTCCATTGTTTATCTGTCCTTCTCCATCAGGAGGCTTTACCTTCCCCTCCTGTAATAAAGAGGTGAACAGTCTTATGGGACTGCAGCATCTGTCCAGCACGCTGGGCTCCTGTGATGGCAGCCAATTTGTGAGCATCATAGCGGGAGTAAAGGGCAGTGCAGGTCCAGCTGGCCTCCTCCCCCTGACCCCCTGCTGCCAGCATGTTACATATCTCACTGTAGAAATGGGGGAAGGAGGGCAATCCATAGAATATCAGGCTCTGGATCCCTTTAATGGTATATCTGGGAAAAAAAAAAAAGAAGTTAGAGATCAAAGGAGCTGCCAACAGTTAGCGCAACCATGAATCTATTGACATTACCACAGACATGTAGAAGAATGATGCTCTTGAGGTACATCTTTAGTCTATCAAATAATATATATCCATCCAATATTTATTCCAGTTATCCTAAATAGGGTCATGGGCAGGCTGGAGCCAATCCCAGCTGACAATGGGTGGGAGGTGGGGTACACCCTGGACTGGTCACCACTCCTGTCACAGGACTTGGTCACAGGGCTGACACTTAGAGACGGACAACAATTTCTCATTTGCAACCATTTTAACAAAGTCAAATAAATTGTAATCTTTTCAAAAGTACAAATGTAAGTTAAATGTTTACCATAATTTCTGGAATATAAGCCGCTCTCACTAAATGTAAGACAAAAAACATGGCAACACCAATTAACCTAAGATGCATGTCTTTGCATTGTGGGTGGAAGCCAGAGTACCTGGACCCACACAGGCACAGGGAGAACATGCAAACTCCACACAGAAAGGCTCCAGGTGGGCTGAGAGTCCAACCCTGAACTTTCTTGCTGTGAGGCAACAGCACTAAAACAGGTCAAAAAAGTGAAGGGATGGACTGAGCAGGCAAAGTCAGAGCTACAGGGTTGCTTTGACTGCAGAGATTGGAGTGTATTTGAGGCTGCGTCTTCAGACCTGGATGAACACTGTGACATCATACATCAGCTTTTGTGAGGATGTGTGTGTGCCCAAAAAGTCCTTCTGCACATACAACAACAACGGGTCCTGGTTTACAGTCTGACTCAAGCAGCTTCGCCTTGCCAGAGAGGAGGCTTACAGATGTGGGGAGGCAAATCTGTACAGGCAGGCCAGGAACACACTGACAAGGGAGATCAGAGCAGCAAAGAGGAGCTACTCTGAAAAGCTGAAAGCTCAGGTTTCAGCCAATGACCCCTCATCTGTGTGGAAAAGCCTTAAAAACATCACTTGCTACAGGAAACCATCCCCCTCTGCTGTGGAAGACCATCAACTAGCAGATGACCTGATTGTGTTCTACTCTAGGTTTGAGAAACAATAGGAAGCAGCAGGTGAAGCTGGGGAAAACCACATCAAGCACCCGGACTATCAGCACAGGCAGACCCACAGGGATCTGTGCTCTCTCCACTGCTCTTTTCACTCTACACAAACAACTGCACCTCAGAGGACCCCTCTGTTAAACTCCTAAAGTTTGCAGATGACACAACAGTCATTGGTCTAATGCAAGATGGTAACAAGTTGGCCTACAGACAGGCTTCTGTTCTCTCAGCCTTATGCTGTTTACTTGCTCATTGCTGCCTTACATAAGGACATGGACATACACATTGAAAGCCACTGTACCAGAGTCAAATTCCTCATGTGTCCAACACACCTGGCCAAAGCTGATTCTGATTCTAATCATTGCACCACCATCCCACCCCGTCAAACTTCAAGTATGTCTTAAAGACATAAAGGCCTGGGTGACCTGTATTTTCTTACTTCTAAATTCTGACAAAACCAAAGTTATTGTACTTGGGGCCTTAGAAATATGTTACTACTGTGAGGAATCTTGGAGTCATCTTTGATCAGAATATGTCCTTTAAATCACACATAAACCAAGTCTCTAGATCTGCCTTCTTTCACCTGCGCAATATTGCAAAAATCAGGAGCATCCTGTCTCAAAGTGATGCTGAAAAACTGGTCCATGCATTTGTTACTTCCAGGCTGGACTACTGTAACTCTTTACTATCAGGATGTCCCAATAATTCCCTAAAAAGCCTCCAGTTAATCCAAAATGCTGCAGCCAGAGTACTGACAGGAACTAGCATGAGAGATCATATCTCTCCCATATTAGCTTCTCTCTGTAAAATCCAGAATAGCATTTAAAATCTTTCTTCTAACATAGAAAGCCCTTAATGACAAGGCTCCATCGTATCTTAAAGACCTCGTAGAGTCTTATCATCCTAACAGAGCACTTCGCTCTCAGAGTGCAGGTTTACTTGTGGTTCCTAGAGTCCACATGGGAGGCAGAGCCTTTAGCTATCAAGCTCCTCTCCTATGGAACCAACTCCCAGTCACAGTTCGGGAGGCGGACACCCTCTCTACCTTTCAGATTAGACTTAAGACTTTCCTTTTTGATAAAGCTTATAGTTAGGGCTGGCTCCCTCAGTTATGCTAAGACATCCCACTCCTCAAATGCTGGCCGTGGGACAAAATCCCCCTCTACTCAAACACATAACTTGACACATGTGGGCTACCTGATGAAGCATTAAAAAGAACTGACCTCTTGTAGAAGTGGAAACGTTCAGTGAAGAGCAGGAAGTGTTTCTCCCCTTTCTGGAAGAAGTGCCTGGCTCGAGACACCTCCGCCTTGCTGGAATACTCGCAGATGCTGGCAAAGCTGAGCTCCTCTTTCTTCATGTAGTTGCGCAATCGGATGTAGTTGAAATAAGATGGGATGTAGATCAGAGTGTGGGACATAACTGAGTCCCTGTACTGAGGCAGCACTTTATCTACAAAGAACTGAAACCTATGGGTGGGATGGGAAACAGTGGAAATAACAGATTTCAATATTGTTTGGGAACAACTAATCATTTCTCTTCAACTTTGCCACATGTGCGATTTCATTTAAATGATAAGTCAGATATAAATCATGGGTGCTGAAATGCACATTCCTGCCACTGACTTTACACCATTCCACTGATCTTCAGGAGGCGGTAACATGCCAAACTATGAAGCAATGCATGATCAAAGGCAGCGACGAAGACCACTACCAAATATTAAAAGCAGATGTAAATAATGCTTGATTATAAAACTCCACAAATTGGCTCTGAAAATACTTCATGATGAAGGAGATACACTCAATGTATTGGTTAGATGTCAAGGATACACACACTGAGTTTTGGTGACTAACATAACTTGTATGTTTACATGCAAACACCACATAACACCCTGAACTATCTCTGAGTTGACATGGTCATGTCAGGCTATGGTAACGTCGCATGGTTCACCCTGAGGACGTTCTCACCGAGCATCATGGTCCATGAAACTGTCAGAGGTGAACATCTGAAACACATGAGGCAGCTGAACCAGCACCTGACAGATGGAACCTGTTTTTGGCATGTTCTTAGTGGTAATCTGAAACAACAACAACAACAAAAAAACACCAATTCTTTATTTTTAAAAATAAACTTTTCTAATTTTAAACTTTCTATATCAATGTACAAATAAAGATTTAATTGACAGTGATGACTTCTTTTCACTCTTTTTCTGGAAAGCTTGGTATGAGAGCCAACCAGGCAACTGGAAAATCCAGCAATCTACGATAAACAAAACAAAAGTGTTCCAACCAATGAACTCAATCTATGAGACCATTTCTGCCTCTTAATAATGTGTTGAACTAAAACCGCAATCTGTAAGGAATGTTTCGTCCCAGGAGCTGGTGTAGTGCTAAGGGTAAGTGTACAGAGTGGAATACCTGTCCACGGTAGTTGGCACAGTGCTTAGTCAGGATGCTGTTGATCTGTGGGTCCTGGATGGAGCTGAACACCAGTGTCTGCCTGTAGTGTCTGGCCCAGTTGTTCAGGTTCCACATCCTTACTCTAGAGAAGTCCACTCCATGGGAGTCCAGAGGCTGCAGGTTCATGTGCATCATCACGTGCTGGTGGCAGTGACAAACAAACACAGACAAGCCACAACAAAAATAATTTCTGACATATTCATTTAACAATGATCATAAAAAGTGCTAAAATGTGGTGCTTTTAATGTAAATTTAATAAAACATGACTTAAAAACATCAGTATCACTATCACCGCAGAGTCTAACAATAATCTGAAAAAAATCTCTCAAGGCTCCTGCTGTGTTTCTCTAAATGCCAAACTTTAACACATTTCAATTAAAGTGACCATGGCATGCTGTTTATTGTTTTCTGACTTTTCTGACAGGAACTTGCTGTTTTACCTGATCAGATCTAATCTACAAGCAGCTGGCAAATGAAGATCCCTGGGGCAGTGAATGATCAGCTCATCAACGCTGGATTCCCCCAGAGCACAGTACTTGTTTGCTTTGACTGCTTGAGGCCAGTGTGTCTGCTGCATGTGATGTGTTGTTGGTTAACGAACGGATTAATGACCCATGATGTTACTGTTGGCACAACACTACCTGTTGGAATAAATTTCACTACTTTGGGACTGTATGTGGTCATGTGGGGGAAGATGCAGCGACCACTGGATGGATTTACCAGCCTTGGAGCTACTTGAAAGGGAGTGATGTTTTCAAAACTTGGTGGGACTTGACGCCAAGTTAAAAAAAAAAAAACCCACGTTAACTGTCTGTTAATGCCTTGTTTCTGTAACGTTAAGAGAATTGTTGTAAGGCTGGAGAAGTTACTATGTCTGCATTATGCCAGTTAAAATATATCTCAATTTGGTTAGAGTGTTGCACATCTCTTTTCATCGGTACATACAGTGGGTACCAAAAGTATTCAGACCCCCTTAAATTTTTCACTCTTTGTTATATTGCAGCCATATGCTAAAATCATTTAAGTTCATTTTTTTCCTCATTAATGTACACACAGCACCCCATATTGACAGAAAAACACAGAATTTTTGACATTTTTGCAGATTTATTAAAAAAGAAAAACTGAAATATCACATGGTCATAAGTATTCAGACCCTTTGCT